GCTTTACAATAAAGTGGTACAGGATATAACCCTAGCCGTTGCTCAATCCTCCTTTGGGATGAATCATGCATTTTACTTCCATTTAGAACCGAGTGGTTTATTGAAGGCGATGTGACCTATGCGGTGGACTGCAGGGCCAGCCGATCTACAAGTCAGTGTTCTTCATCCTCCTGACGGATCCAGTACCGATTAATCGTCCGCATAGGGTAGAGGACTAGGTTGGTATGGGCGGGAGATCCAGCATTGGGCCCCGAGGCCGCGCGCGTGGTGAATGTGCTACTTGTTAATCAATAACTCTACCTCAGCTTCATCAGTATGATTGATAAAAAGTGGCCATAAAGATGGTAGGATAGTGAGCAGCTAATAACATGCAAATGCTCAAGTTTTTTGTCAACCAACTATCGGCCACAATACTGATGGATTTTTCGAAATCTCCACAGTGAAGTCACCAACTCAGGTAGATTATTTCGTAAACCATTCATTTCATATTCACAGAACAAGGGTCCGTCCATGTATTCTTTGGTGAATACAACAAATAAATAGACTAAACACCGGTAAAACATACAAGCACGAAATACACTCAACAAATCAAACTGCACTCGAATGTGAGGAAACTGGAGTGAGCTAATAATATGTTTCTGAGAACGATAAGCCACACTTGAAAGGGGAAAATAGTTTTGGAATTTTCAAATCACAAACGATTTTCGGCATTAAATACAGCTTACATGAATACATAAATGGTTTTGCAGAGACCAATAAGGCATCCACAAACAATGGTGCCAGCGAATCCCGCTGACGCAAAGAATCGGAACTGTCGTGGTCACCAACGAGTTCCTCTTATAGTTTTTCCATTTCTTCCGTGAGCTTTTCGATCTCGCTCTCGTATTCCGTCTTCCGACCGACCTTTGCTATTTGATTCGGTAACGGAATAATTTCTCCACTGTTTATCCGTTCCTAGAAATCGCTCATTGAATGCTTGTCTATATGTATACATTATATAAGAAAAACTTCTAGTTGTCACCTCAAGCTTTGCTATTTCCGTCAGTTTCAATTTTACTTTGTCGATTTTCTTTTGAATTTGTTCTTGTGGTGTTATAGCCGCTTTTGGTTGAAATACAGCTGAAATTCACACTGATTTATGACGAGTGATATGTTAAACTGGAGAGGTACGCCAATTTTGCACTCCACAAACCTGCGATGGGCTTTCGAGGTCCAGCAGTTGCCTGCTGCATATTACGTGGAGTCATTCCTACCACCACCCGCCCACGGGTTGAAGCCGCTACTTGGCTTGGATTTTGATATTTCGGTTGTTCTTCTTGCGGAATATACCTGAATAGATAACAAGTTTTTCATCAGCTCACAATTGAAGAATCAATTCTCCCACAGTAAATACATAATTCAATTTTTTTTCAATTTCAATCATATTTCTGAGAAATGCTAGCAAAGTTATCCGTAATGTAATCTAAACTTCCTGACACTTTTGCTCATCGCAGTCAAGCAGACTATGATCCTTTAAACATTCAGCAGACGAAAGAAAATATGAATAAATCAGTATATTAACTGCTTGTACGATCGTGTGCCCTCTCGCTCGTCCGTTGTTCCTTCACCCACGCGCCCAGTGTTTCGCTGTCTCACTTTTTCGCGTGACGTTACCGCCTACTACAACTAGCGTAGAAGAGCGATTTTGCTCGCTTTTGTGCTCCCTCCTCCATCGTCTAGTCCCTCGTTCACTTAATGAGTCTTCCCCGTCATCATGCAATGCTCAAAATCAACGGCAAGGAGGAGAGCTCAGTTACAAGAATCAATTTCAATTCCCTTGTGAATGAGTACCTGCACGTGGGCTGCACCGGTAGCAAGCGTCACGAAGCACAGTGCCGGCAGTTGCAGGGAGACATTGATCGCTTCAGAAGAGGAAGATTTCTGTAAGAAAAAAATAGCAATTTTAATCTGCACATTAGCAATCAGCATTCGAAGCTATTGCTGTACCTAGGTGTCAAAATTCTGTGGAGAGTTGAAAGCACCTTTCCTTTGTTAAAGCATATTCAACGAAACCTTTTGCATTATTCTCGAATTAAGTCAACTAGCACATTTAGCGGGCGAGAACGTAAGCCACTACATGAACGAGGCCGAGTGTTTTAGTCCTACCTGGCGGCTCAGTTGTTCGCCCATAATTAGCACTTCATTGGTCAATCAGCACATTTTCTTTTTTGAATCAATAAAATTACAATTAAATCGCGAAATGTGTATTCCAAGAGAGATGGAGTATTATAGTGATAACCGCATAAGATAACCCTATGTACGAGAAATCCTCATACAATCGCTTCTTCAAGCCTTCATGCACCGAAAGGAACAATGCAACAAAAGGTCTACACATACAGTCTGGTTCGCTGCGCGGATGATAGGTGTCCGCGCAGCCGCGTTTGGCTCGCTGCCAAGTCCACTGTCCAGCAGTTATTAGCGGGTAAGTGACAACAACTGGTGAAAACGAATGACACGAACGATATGATTCCTCTGGTTTTGCCGCCTGCCGAAAGGACAAAAAGAAGAACGGGTTGGCGCAGCGCTGAGCTCAGCCGCACGGACACGCCCCATCATCAGCAGTAAAGCAAACTATGTACGGGACTAGCGATAACACTACATTCGATCACATACGTGAAATTCATACTTGACAGCTCAAAGCCGAACATATCAGTGCTTTAAAAACAGTTAAATAGTGTAACATACCCGTCTTTCACACGACGTGCTTTTCGCCATGTTCCATCTGGTCGTTGTGTAGCCGCAATAAATGTTTCACCTGAAGCATGGAAACCAATTCAAATAACACAAGTATAAAACAGGAGTCCTAAAGAAGTGTGTTTCCAAACGTTAGGCAGAATCTGACTAACCTTGACTAGTCCTTATGCGAGTGTCGCCACCGTCCTGTTTATTGATGGACGACGATGCCATCTAATTTGCACAAATAAAAATCAGTCTCGTTCGTTTTGAACGATGGGGCGTGTATGTGAGGCTGTTTTGGCACGGCGCCAACCTGTCCTCCACCAATTGTTGAAGTGAGCAAGCGACAACAATAGATGAAAAACGACTGAAACGAACGATATGATACAGTTTTTTCATCCCCTCGTTTCAACAACTCATAGAAAATGGATCTGACACGATGCCAAACCCATCCGTTCAGACACGCCCCATCATCCGCAGTGAAAAAAGGCGTGAAATAACCTAACTGTGGCTTGAAAATACGAACCATATCTTCCCGGTCATACCAATAAAACATCCAAGTACAACGTGTATGACAATTGAAATACTTTATTTTCATGGTAAAAACATAACTATTCACAAGCAACATCTTGCCTATATCATCTACCATAGTCATAGGAGATCCACTGAGGAAATTTGATCCGATCGAACGGTTAGCATATCACATCTATGAAGATTACAACGCAAGAGGTTAGAATGGTTGCGGGTGAAGACAATATGGATCCTCAGAGCCCAGAGAAGATTCTATTATGAACCGGTAATGTGGAAATGCAGATGTCGAGAACATTATAGCACTATATCCTCCCTGAATAGACCAGCATTTGAGCGCTGGCATAAACAGCAACACCTCTATAACCTGTTTCTATTTCCATCGAATTAGTACAAAGAGTAATCTCTAAAGTTTTACATACTAGCTTTTAAACTAATTTTGGGAAAAAGTAATGCGATACACGTGAAGAATACCCCAGAAAATGAAAGAAATACCGAAAGACAACTGAGAATTCAGGTGGGAGCCATCCATTGTAGTGAGCCTTTCACACTACTACTCAACTGCTTTCCCTTTTCTCCCACACCTTTTATAATTATTTGCTTCCGGGAAGAAGTTCAAGAATTGAGCACCTCAAAGACACTCTGTACGATCACCTGGATCCTTTCCATGGATGAAATGAACAGGTTCTAGATTCTCAGAACTTTATAACTCCCACCTCAAATTGCGCGAAAATGAAAGTGGGGGCAGATAGATTGATACTTCTCATGTCTCCGCCTGCGTTCCATCCATTGCGTTCACAAGACCGCGTTCCTACTTCGCGAGTGACGAAACTCAGCGTTGCGCGACCAGGAAAGTATAGGTATCGACCTGGCGTCTGTGGAGATTGAACGATCCGCCTGTTCGAGAAGTTTCCGGCGATTACACGCTAAGGGAATGGGCCGGTGTCGATCGGCGCCAGCCGCTAGCGATTCGGAGATTCAAATCCGGCGTTTTGGGAAACCGCCACCTATACCTACATCGTAGAACGTGGCCTTAGGAGCGCGCTGCGGCCACATTGCCAATAAGTTCACGGTCAAAGTCGAGTGGAAAACAATGGCGTTTCAGCTCTACATGAGAGGGAGCAGTGCATGTGGTTAAGGTGAGCTTTATGGCTGTACGTGTGGCGTGTTGCGTGTCAACGGCGTGCTCGTCACGTATCGCTCGACAGACTTAAGTACGCAGAACAGGCAGCTGCTAGAACCCTCCTCATCATTTCTGAGCCTTTTCGAGTGGTAAAAGTGGTACATATCTACAGCGGCGGACCTTCCCGTTACGGCTCATGGAAAGGATCCATACCAAAGATAATCGACAGCGTGTCTTTAACTAACCGTTGACTAACAGGTTATGAGGCTGTGACTGCTTCCAGAACTGTGAGCTGTCTCAAGGATAGATACTTGGTATGATATCTGACTGGAATTTCTAGTTATGTCTGCTCAACATAATCTGGTAAAGTCTAGACAGTCTTAAGCACTTGATGAACAATCGTTAATCGATGACACCAGAGATCAGGAGCAAATCACACGAAATTAGTTTTGGTAACTAGGAGGTTTGAGATTTTGATGCTGAATCGAATGGACTGCCGAAAAGAATCTCTGTTACAAATTTAGATCGTAAAGAGCTATCTGAATTCTGGCCTCTCTGAGTGAACGAAATGTAGGCACAAGGTCTACAAGTGAGAACATTTAAACATAGAAAATGAACTATGAGTATAAGAAACATACGGGGAGCAATAAATGCAGGTAGAATATTTCACAAACCGTTATGTTAGAAAAAAATTAGGCGCGTTGAAAGTTCTGATGATGTTAGTAGTCAAACTTGAAACGTACCAGTGGATTGAAATCAGAGTAATGAAAGGAGTAAACATAAGACTAGACTTTTTCAACCGCTGCATTATTCCGATTATTGGCGTTAATGGCTCGAGACGCTTTCGGCATACGAGCGCTGTCCGGATGCCGGCAATTCGGACAAAACCATTTGCCCTTTGGCTTTGTGGTAAGACCGATACACTCGAAGTGAAACCATTCGATTTCGCATTTGTCATTGTCACATCCAATCATCTCGCCAAATGATATCTAAACAACTCATTTGATACATAAGTCCCCACGAAACTACTTGTCAACTCTTCTAAAAATGCCTGCCAACTCTTCTGAAGCAACGAAATGGAAGCAGCGAAAGGCGAAATGCCCTCTCCCTATATAGGCCATGCTAGCATTTTAGGCCGAGTACCAAAGTATCGTACCAACCGCCTTTAAAGCCGCTTATCGCGATAAGCCGTGGACCAATGCATAGGCAGTGGGCTGAAAAACGAAAGTGTAGAAGCCACTTGACATGGTTA